CACTATAGAGTAGTGCTGGTTTAAGGACCTCTTTAAACTCTATTGCTGGGGTATCTGGGTGGCTTAGTTGGTTGAGCGTCTGACTTCGGCTCAAGTCATGATCTCATGGTTTGTGGGCTCAAGCCCCTCATTGGGCTCTGTGTTGACAGCTAACCCAGAGCCTGGAGCCTATTTCGGATTCTGTGTCTCCCTCTCTGACCTTCCCCTGTTCATGCTGTCTCTCTCTCTCTCTCTCAGAATTAAATTTTAAAAAAAGTTTAAAAACCCTCTATTGCCAATAATACGTTATCTCAAGATAATAGTGGGTTTCAGTAGCTCAAGCTTATTACTTAAAAACATTTATTAAGAAGTAATTGAAATATAAGCTAGCTGGGCATCTGAGGAAATGTCAGCACAGTACCTTCCTTACTCTGAAAGACAAGTTTGTCTATCTCATGCCTCCCTGAATGGTTTCTAGAAAGGTTATTTATATGGCACTACCATGTTGAGAGACCACATATCTTAACAAGGTTAATATCAGTCATTGTGGAACTCCTTGTGGTGTAGTCTTTAATTTAACTAATCAAGTATGAGGAAGTACCAGGTACTACGTTAAGCACTAGGAATACTGTGAATAAGATTTAGCTCTGTTCTTAAAAGTCATTTTATACATATAAAAATACAAAGTTTACATGATATAATATGACAAGTACTAATTTAGAAGTATGCATCATATCCATATCAGACTTGAGCATCAAGAGAGACCATCCCCAGACCTGGAGAAAAAGATAAACCAATTTGGTAATACATTTTTTCTCTCAAAGCTGGATGTGGGAGGGTTGAATCATTTTATATAGGTCACAAAAATATCTGATTAGCACAAACTTGTCTAGTGTTCATAATTCAAATGAGTGATAATGTTACTGGAATTGCTAGTTCCCTTATCTTTTAAAACACCTCAGTCTCCCTAGTAAATGTTCTAAAAATGCAAATTATGTGATACCTGCTTAACTAGAATTATTTCTCTCTATTATGTAATATATCATAAAATATTTTTTAAGTCAAGTCACTACCTAAAGGTGACGGTATTTCTTTTTTTTTTTTAATTTTTAATGTTTTTTTTTACTTCTGAGAGAGAGAGAGAGCATGAGCAGGGGAGGGTCAGAGAGAGAGGGAGACACAGAATCTGAAACAGGCTCCAGGCTCTGAGCTGTCTGTCAGCACAGAGCCCGACGCAGGGCTTGAACCCACAAACTGCGAGATCATGACCTGAGCTGAAGTTGGATGCTCAATCGAATGAGCCACCCAGGCGCCCCAAGGTGATTGTATTTCTAAGAATACTTACTGTGGCTATCACAATTTATACAGAATAAGATTCTTTTGAGACTCTGGAAGCTACAAAAAATATTTCTCTAAAACTTTGTAGCAATTTTTTGTTCTCTTTGAAGCAGAAAAGTTTTAATGTGAATCTGTGAGTTATGTGTCAGTGTAATTTGAATTTTTTAATCCATTATAGATAAATCACAATTCTTAATCTGAACAATCTTCATATTGAAATAATTTAAAGGGATGTCATCTGTCTAGCCTGTGTTAGAACTCACAATTCCCAATTTACATGGAGAATTTCAGGCTTAGTATTTTCTAAACTTTTTCATGCAAGGATAACATCTGCTTCCATTGTCAGCCGTGCTGCTACTGTCACTTCTTTAACTCATTTTTTCTTCCCTAACTTTGTCAGCTCCATTAATCATATGGCATTGACACTGATTTTTATAGTAAACTAGTGAGATTGTTGGATATGGGAATTATATTTTATGTAAAAAATTAGTATCTTCCTATTTTTCACATGTAGAGGAAAAGAAATGATACTGGTTCCATGTATTTGAAATATATGTTAAAACATTCCAAATTAGTTTCAAATGAATTTCCTATTTATGACAGGATTAACTATACAGAAGGTCATAAATAATATAAAATGTTATATATTATTATATATTTCTTACATTTATTACATATTTTATAATATTAAGATATTTCAGGGCCACCTAGATGGTTCAGTTGGTTAAGCATCTGACTTTACCTCAGGTCATGATCTCGTAGTTTGTGAGTTCAAGCCCCATGTCAGCTCCATGCTGACAGCTCAGAGCCTGGAGCCTGCTTCAGATTCTGCGTCTCCTTTTCTCTGTGCCTCTTCCCAGCTAACACACACTCTCTCTCAAATATAAATATTAACAAAATTAAAAAAGAAAGATATGTCAAATCTCCTCACATGTTAGAAACAGGAAATAATTTTTGCCACTATAAATTTAGAAAAGCATCCTTATAGGTTTGAAGGTAGATAATACCCATTTTACCTATGAAGATTTGAACATCTCATTTCATTGTACTACCTTTAACTTATAGATAGAAATACTTCTAGTTTTGTCCCCAGATTTATTGAGATATAACTGACATATTGTATAAGTTTAAGGTGTATAGCATGTTGATTTGATACATTTATACACTGCAAAATGATTACCACCTATAGTGTTAGCTAACATCTCTAACACATCATATAATAACCATTTCCTTTTTGTGCTGAAAACATTCAAGATTTACTCAGCAGTTTTCAAGTATAATACAGAATTATAAGCTGTACTCACCACACTATATAATAGAGTTTATCCATCTTTAATTGGAGGTTTGACCAATACTTCTAGTTTTTTTTTTTTGTTTTTTTTTTTTTTATTTCTAGCAGAGAGAGAGAGACAGCTTGAGCAGGGGAGGGTCAGAGAGAGAGGGAGATACAGATTTCGAAACAGGCTCCAGGCTCTGAGCTGGCAGTCAGCACAGAGCCCGACGTGGGGCTCAAACCCACGAACCGCGAGATCATGACCTGAGCAAAAGTTGGACGCTTAACCGACTAAGCCACCCAGGTGCCCCATCCAATACTTCTAGTTTTTAAAGTGCTTTCCCATGTGTTTGATCTTCAAAAATCTCATTATATAAACATATTATTTATAAGATATAACATATGTATTAACAAATATATAACATAAATAATGTGTAATAACATATACACATAAAATACATAACAACTAGAGAGAGTGAGAAATGTGGTTCAAAATCATCTTTTTTTTAATTTTTATTTTTTGAGAGAGTATATGCAAAGGCAAGTGGGGGATGATAGAGGGAGAGGGAGGGGATCTTTTTATTTACTTTTATTTTAGAGAGAGAGGGAGAGAGAAAGAAAGAGAGAGAGAGAGAGAGAGAGAGAATCTCAAGCAGGTTCTATGCTCAGTGAGGAGCCTGATGTCAGGCTTGATCCCATGACCCTGGGATCATGACCTGAGCCAATATCAAGAGTGTGACGCCCAACTGACTGAGCCACCCAGGTGCCCTAAAAACCATCTTTGTTAGACAGAGAAAATGTAAAAAGTTTTAATCATCTACAGCCGGCCAGCAAACTATGGCCAAAACCACCTGTTTTTGAAAATAAAGTTTTATTAGGAGACAGCGCTACATATTTTACATATTTACAATTTACAATATTTACATATTTCCTATGGCTGCTTTTGAGATACATGGCAGAATTGAATAATGACAGAGACCATTAGGCTCACAAAGCCTAAAACATTTACTACCTGGCCTCTTAACAACAAATCTGACTGTGTTCTATAGAAATTTGTTCTTAAAAACCATATTTAAATAACTACTTTAAAACTGTTTTTCTTACGGATTATTTCAAATTAAATAGTATGTGGTACATTTTACATGAGAAATCTGCATAGCATGAGAGATGAAATCTAGAATTTCACAGCATTTAATGTTAATATCTTATTTTACAATATAGGAAGGAGCATTATCAAAATATTCATGCTGACAGTAAAATAATTAGGGAAGTTTTAATTTATTAATAATGATGTGACTACCGTGTATGCAGAGATGTACAAAAATGTCTCCTCTTAAAATGGAACTGAGACAGGTCTAATTTAGTATAGCATACAATTCCATTCCTGCCAACAATAGGATTAGCTTGTACTTAGCTAGCTCTTAAAAGAAGCAAATACTAAATAATTCTTACAGCCTTAAAATCTGTAGAAAGGCTTATTTAACCTTTTGAACATTATTTCCTATTAGGGAGTTTAGCTAACTTGAATTTAGCTCTTTCCTTTAAATGGTTTTTCAATGTTTTATTTATTTCTGAGAGAGAGAGAGACAGAGAGACAGAGAGAGAGACAGCGTGAGCAGGGGAAGGTCAGAGAGAGAGGGAGATACAGAATCTGAAACAGGCTCCAGGCTTTGAGCTGTCAGCACAGAGCCTGATGCGGGGCTCGAACCCACAAACCTGAGATCATTACCTGAGCCTAAGTCAGACGCTTAACCAACTGAGCCACCCAGGTGCCCCAGCTCTTTTCTTTAGAAACATCTTCAGACAAGATGTGCTATAATTCTATCATTTGTAATATAAAATTGTATCAATGATGGTAGATTCTCACCAACTGAACATACAAATGAATTAAATATAGATTTTTCTGGAAGGCATTCATAACTTCAAACTATTGCCTTCCCTTTGTTTTCTACTCTTAAGATACTTAACTTTAGAGAAACTAAAATCCAGAATCCCCTTAATTATTGCTAGAAATTTTAGGGAAATTTAATTTGGAGAATAAAATAAAGAACTGATGTGGATAAATGAAACACAAATATAAAGTTAGAGATTTGTTTTTAAATAAAGCTACATTTTAACTGTCAAGATGCTAGGCGTTTCACTTTTATTTTGATATATTTGAGCTATTGAAAAATGAGATCTTTTCCTCAAAGAACCCAAACTCAACATTCTTCTAAAAAGACATATGCGATGTTCAGTGTCTTTTGATGGCCATGTTATACTTCTTGTGGGCCTTAACCACAGTAACTTGTGGGTGGCATCCAGGCTCAAAACAGATTCCTGTACCTTCTGAGCATTACTTTTATTTATTTATTTATTTTTGTATTTCAGATGTTTACTCATTTTTCCTTGTATCTTACAGTTTTATTAAACCAAATTAAAATACTGATGATTTCCTAAATCAAGGCATGAATACAGTTTGAAAGAAAATCTTACTTGACTTTCTTTAGTTTGGTGCTATTTTTCCTTCAAAGATTAGTCAATAGGGACAAAGTTGAATAGAGCCAAGTTAAAAAATCCTTGTGTATTTATCCAATTTCTTCTCCTGCTTGAACCTCAGTGATTTCAATTGCTTTCTAGTGAGTTCCCTTTAAGAAGAAACACAATGTCTTAATAGATATAAAAGGTCAATTGCTAAGTATTCCATACGTGTTAGATTTTTTTTTCTTATCTTACTTTTTTAGCCTTTCCTTCTACTTCAGGCTACCTCAAATCTCAAAATCACTATTCTCACCATTTCCAGACTTTTTATGCCTCCAATAATAGTGCTTTTAAAGCTGATTGATGTTGGTTCTGTAGCACGAGGGAAAGAAAATATGACTAGGAATCTCTCACAGCTTCTCCAGGCAAAAAAGTTCTCCTTTGATTTGTTTCAGAGCTTATTTAGTTTTTGATATTTTTTTAAGTGGTATGTTAAAGCACTTGCCTGTACCACTAAAATGATAATTACCTTAAGCTGCAGTTCCACATTATAGCCCTCGTTAGTATGCAAGTTCCTGGGTATCAAAAGCAAAATCTTAGCGCTCAATTCCTATCTGGGTCAAGTAAATCTTGTGTAAAAGCACAACACAATTATTTATTGAATGAATAAAAATGTATGTGGACTGAGTGGCTCTTAAGTTAAATGTATTTAAATTTTTATGTAAGCTTTTAGTAATCAGGGTACTATGGTAAAAAACAAATTTTCAGTTAGTCGTCTAAAAATCCTACTTTTTTTTTGGCAAAGTTTAATTCACTAGAAATAACTTTATTTAACTTTATTTATTTATTTATTTAACTTTAATAACTTTAATTAACTTTATTAATTAAATATTTAATAAATATTTCTAAAATTTTATGTGTATACACATATATACATACACATATACACATAGGTTAATTGGTTTTTTAATTGAAATTTTCATGTTACAAACCTCTTTTGTAAAATAAAACATTTTGGTAGAAGATAAGTGGCATCCAAAATTGTTTTGATTAAGCCAAACTGATAGGTAAGGGATTTTTATATTGATAGCTGAGTCAAGCTTATCTGATGGGGAAACCAGGAATTCTAAAAATATATATATACGGACAGCAGTTACATTTAAGTACTTCGCATTTAAAAGCAGCAACAGTTTATTAACAGGTTGCTGGGAACCAAGTAATACTTACTCTTTTGGTATTTTGTCTGACCTTTTCCATTTACAAATGGATCAGTCCCCAATAGAAATAGTTTTAAAATGTACTTAAAATGAAAATTTCCAAGTTCACTAATATATTTTATTAGCTAGAATGATAGTACTCTTTAATGGTATTTGCCTGATACGGGTTTGTGTATTTCTTCACATATTCTGTAAATGAACACCCACCAAAACAAATATTTTAATGATATTTATACCAAACTGTTTCTATGTAAGAACATTGTATTACACTGCTTGCTTCCTCGAAGGAATACAAAAGATTAGAAGTTGTGAATGTTGAATACAAACTTTGGTTTCTTTTTTTGAAATGCCACCTCAAACTAGAGTTTTCCATCTGAAATTTACTGATAATACAAGGTACTCACAAACCAGAAACCTAGATAAACCAAAGGAAAAAAATTGCTCAAATCTATAATCAACCCTCAATACTAAGTTTTACCAAACATCAACCAATTTTTTTTCCTAAGAAAGTGTCTAAAAATAATGACCCAATACAACAATAGAACACCAAAATAGGCATGAATTCATTTTCATTGGTTTTGAATGCTGCTTATATTATGAAGCTTTGTAATTTCTATGAATGCTCTCTGAAGATCAAGTTTATTGTTTTTACACTTGAGCAAAGAGACTTGCTCCAGTCTGAACAAAGAGAAGACAGCAGAGCCAAGGCCAGGGTTTCTGTAGTTTCTATAAAGGGCCTCCAGAATTCCTCCAAGAAGCCACAGGAACCATGGCGGGGACAGAAGGGGGGGGGGGGCTGTGGAAAGTCTAGGTGGAGGGACACTTCATTCCCCTCACACACTGCACTGTCTTTAACAAGAGTTGTTCAGTTTGCATCTCATTGATATATTTGAAATTCTGGGTTAGAATGAGTTTGAAAAGAAAAAAATGAATTCTGTTCCTGAAAAATAAATTTGAAAACCACTGCATTACCCCATGCAGGCTGGGAAGAAAACAGGGGGAATATCATGAGGACTCAAATTTGAAATGATATCACTGTTAGTACCTACCATGAGAAACACCTAGAAATTGTTATTTCAAAATAAGGCAAAAGAGGTCCCGAATGTAGATTTTGTACAAGTAAAACCCTTTTTATTTTTTTCTTTTAATTTTTTGTTAATGTTTGTTTTTGAGAGAAAGGGAGACAGAATGTGAGCAGGCAAGGGGCAGAGAGAGAGAGAGACAGAGAGAGAGAGAGAGAGAGAGAGAGAGACTGAGAATCTGAAGTAGGCTCCAGGCTCTGAGCTGTCAGAGCAGAGCCTGATGTGGGGCTTGGACCATGTGAGATCATGACCTGAGGTGAAGTCAGACGCTTAACCAACTGAGCCGGCCAGGTGCCCTTGTTTATTCTTTTTTCTTATACTTTGGTTATTGACCCAGTGTTTCTAGAAATTTGAATCACACAGATGAAAAGTGAATAAACAAAGTTTGGTAGAGGAACTTGAAATGTTTCAGAATAGAAGGACAGGTGGAGCATACAGAAAAGCACAATACTAAACTAACAGAAAGCAGAACAATGGAATGCTAAATGAACATATTGAGAGTAAGAGAACCATTTGGGCAAAACAGTCAGGAAAAGCTTTCTGGAAACGAGGTGCTCAAGTAAGAGTAGAAGTAAAGGAAACTACATTTCTGGTAGAGTGACCAGAGCTGAAGGAGTGGGGTGGAAGCATGTTTATTGAAGAGGAAGATAGATCTAAATGGAGAGGAGTGTTTATATCAGTGATACATAAGCTTGAGTTGGTAAAACGAGGTTATACTGAGAAGCCCTTTCAAGACAATAGAGGAAGACATTGGATTTAAGGTATGCATGAGGGGCAATATGGTACTACCTTTGGTACTCAACAACAGAAGTGCTTTAGTGCTAGTAAGCTGGCAATGCGTTCTGAATTATTGAGGCACTTTTCTTTTATTATCCTAAATTACTGGTGGTAGAAAAAATTTAGGTGGTACTTCAAAAGATGCTAGATCGTTTTCATAGATTTAAAATTACATATGCAATAATGGATACACACATTTTAAACTCTTTTGCACTTGTGCTGGCTGGCAAAAAAAAAGCTTCAGAGGCATACACCATTACTTAATCTATCTCCTTCACATCAGATTTATATATTACATATCATTTTTAATTTTTATCATCCCCTTTTAAAGCATTTGAAAAATAAGACATTTTGTTTGATAATAAGTACTCTGAGTTTGAGAAACACTTGAAATAAAATAGTCTCTCCTAGGGTGGTGTAGAAATATATGGATACATTAGAAAAATAATGGACATTATTAGACAATTAAAATTGTAGGGTGGCTCAGTCGGTTGAGCGTCTGACTTTGGCTCAGGTCATGATATCATAGTTCATGGGTACAAGCCCCTCATTGGTCTCTGTGTTGACAGCTAACCCAGAGCTTGGAGCCTGTTTTGGATTTTGTGTCTCCCTCTCTCTCTGACCCTCCCCTATTCATGCTCTCTCTCTCTCTTTCTCTCTCTCAGAAATAAATAAAAAACTGGGGCACCTGGGTGGCTCAGTCGGTTAACCGTCCGACTTTGGCTCAGGTCATGATCTCATGGTTCGTGGGTTCGAGCCCTGCATCGGGATCCGTGTTGACTGCCAGCTCAGAGCCTGGAGCCTGTTTCGGATTCTGTGTTTCCCTCTCTCTCTGACCCTCCCCTGTTCACGCTGTCTCTATCTCTCAAAAAATAAATAAAACATTACAAAAAATTTTAAAAAAAGAAATAAAAAACTTTAAGAAAAGTAAAATAAAATAGAGAAAAAAACTTTAAGAAAATTTGAATTAAATGACCCTGGAGAAGTGTTTTTCTCAATTTATAGTTTTTATTTCTGTCTCTTCACTATGCAAGACATGAAGACAAAATTTTACCTAGTATAAAAAGTAAGCAATATAAAAAAGTAATCAATGGACTCAAAATATCCTTCCAAGTTCAAATCAATGAATGGTCTTTAGAAAGAGTGTATCATATGATTATTAGTTTTTGCCTAGAAAATATTAACCATTTGTTTTAAAAGTAATACATCCTGTATATACATAAAATAGGTCTCAAATGAAAATTATCTCACAAAAAAGAGTTTTAAACTCCTAAATATACTTTTTCAATCTCCAATGTCTTCAGACCACCCAACTAAAAATGTTACATGTTTCCTCCCCTCCTGTCTTTTTTCTTTTCCCAAGCTCATTGTGGAGGTTTGTGGCTATGGGTGCATGCACATGCCATGGTTCTCCTTTCTTTTTTTTTTTTAAAAGTTTCTGTTTTCTTTTTTTTTTTTTTTAATGTTTTATTTATTTCTAGGAGAGAGAGAGAGACAGCGTGAGCAGGAGAGGGTCAGAGAGAGAGGGAGTCACAGATTGAAACAGGCTCCAGGCTCTGAGCTGGCAGTCAGCACGGAGCCCGACGCGGGGCCTGAACCCACGAACCGCGAGATCATGACCTAAGCGAAAGTCGGACGCTTAACCGACTAAGCCACCCAGGCGCCCCATGCACATGCCATGGTTCTCCTTTCTAAAATCTGGTACAGGGGCGCCTGGGTAGCTCAGTGGGCTAAGTGTCTGCCTTCTGCTCAGGTTATGGTTTCAAGGTTCATGAGTTCAAGCCCCACATCAGCCCTCTGCTGTCAGTGTAGAGGATACCCTGTGCTTTGGATACCCTGTACCCCCCGGTCTCTCTCTCTCTCTCAAAAAAAGGAAAAAAAAAAACGTTTAAAATCTGTTACAGAGAAGATTACTTTTTAAGGAGCAAATTTTTTCCCTTTTGGGAGTTACCTGGTGTTGCTGGATAAATGCTGTGATATGCTTGTTTAGGGGTGTGCACGGAAATTTGTCAAAATGTGTGCTTGAGGGAGAATAGTGGTAATTGGGCAGTATTTTTTAATGAATGGCTTTTATAACTGTAGTATTTTTGT